TGGATATCTCATCCCTCACTTTCTATCTTGATAACGCTTACTCATCTCTTGGACTAGAGTTTAAATACAACATACTCAGGAATGCCTTCCTTGACTCACAAATTTAAATTAGATTTCTTACTGATAACAACATTTTGTTAAAGTAGTACTTATCAAAAATTGTAATTATATATTAATTTGGGTATCATTCTCGAATGCGAACTTCATTAGGCACTGTGGCTTTCATCTTTCATGTTCATGGCTGTAATCTCAGCAGTGAGCTTGGCACACAGTAGGTGTTCAATACAAATTTGTGGGACTGAATGAATGAATGATTTGTGGAAGTGGAGATCAGGCATGCATTGTCATAGAAGTAAAGGAGAGACAGAGAAAATGAAAGCAAGGTGAAGAGGTATAGACAATTCTTTTGAACTGTCTGTTGGGGAGTGGTGAAAGACATGGGTGTTTTCAGGAGGCATAAGCGGGGATGAAGGTGTCCTACTATTTTTAAGATTTTATTTTAAGACATGAGCATGTTTGACTGCTAATGAAGAAGGATCCAGTAGAGTGGTGTGCATTGAAATTACTTAGAAGACTTGTTAAAACAGATTGCAGAGCTGCACTTCTAGGATTTCTGATATAGCTGTTTGGGGCTATGGCTGATAATTTGCATTTCTAGCAAGCTGCAGGGAATGCTGATCCTGCCAGAATGGGGATCACACATTGAGAAACACTTAGATACAGGTTGGAGGAGGATGAATGTGGGGCTCTGGAGTCCAAGGGTGGGGGAGAATTTGCCTTAGGGTAGAAGGAGGAACACCATTGTACAGGATGGAGGAAAAAAGATGGGTGCAGACCCAAGTAGGTTTAAAGGTTAGGGACCAGGAAATTGTCAAAACTTCCCCTCTGATAGATCCTGTTTTCATTATGAGTAGGAATTGAGGTCATTTCAGGAGAATCAGGAAGGAGAATCGGGGGTAGGATAAGAAGTTAGAGGAGGATAGAGAGGTTGGTAGTGTCACTGTGGTGAGCAAGTGAGCAGCATGACAAAAGACTATAGCATTGCAACCAGTGTTAAAGGCTTAGGTGAGGTTTGCAGTCATACATCCGTGTTAGTACCAATCTGCTCTGTTAAACCATTGAAGTTAGTGGTAAAAAAAAAACTGTATCAGCTGAATAAGGTTCAAGGGCAATCCTCAGGCTATTTTAGAGGTTAGTATCTTAAAAATATCTCAAACTAACTAAACATGACTGTCCAGCTGTATAAAACACACAATTAAGAGGTACTTAGGATGGCAAAGAATTGCCTCTAAACAAACCCAGAGAGATTTCTATATATCTCCTTGTTCCTGAAAATTTATAGTGATAGGTATTTTATTGCATCTTTCACTGCCAGTGTGTTTGTATATGTAGTAATATTAAATTTAAATTTTGCTCACTTACAATCAACTTTTTTTTTAAAAAAAGGAAGCATCATTTTACATTGAGATACTAAAAACTTCCATTAAGAAAGATGATATACAGAAGCACAAATCTTTATTCCACTCACTCCTCCCTATTCTATCCACTTGTTGCTCCTGTGGAAAGAGCCATCAGCTTGCTCAGATTTCACCCTCTGACACATCATTTTGAGTTATGTTGGCCACCAGGAACTAAAAGTAACAAGAAAGGAAGAAAACTGGAACTGTAATTTAGCACTTTACAAATATACGTGCACTACTGGTTGTGGTAAAGGTCAGGAGAGCTGGAATCTAGCAGGCTGTGAAGCAGAAGCAGAAGCAGCTTCTGCACTATCGGAAGACTGGGGTGGCACAGGGGGTGAAAAGCCCCAAGCACCACTACACCCAGGCTTCCATCTGGGAAATAATAATTGCATAAGAGACAGAGGATGGTAAAGGGCTTTTCACAGAACCTCAAGAATACAGTGAAATACATGTTAATGCTGTTGGTGTTGGTTCAGGTACTTTTAATAAGGACATCTATGAGAGATAGAAATGGAAAGAGAAGACAATGCAAATGATAGGACATCTGACTCAAGAATCTAAGGAGCATAGGGATTATAAATACATCCACCTACATACAGATATTCAGATTCAGATAGAGAAGGTTAATGACTAAGCAGTTATTAAACAATGAAACACTTTCATGCTGGTTGGTGAATAACTGCCATCCTGAGCTCCCTGAGGGCCCCTTGCTGTGCCAGTCTCTCCTGCATCTTTTCCCTCATCCCACCTCCTCACATTCCAGCAGCTGTGGGGTTAATACCAGCACTGGGCCTTTGGGATTCCTAACCTCCATGCTAAAGTCTCTACTTGGATTGGTCAATAGCACATAACATATTAGTGGTTAAATGTCTTAATATCACCTATGTATATGGATCTATGTGGCACAGGATTATCTGCATGCTATGAATTGTCTGATGAAGAATTATCTGCAACAGGATCATTTGGGATACTTGTCAAAAATGCAGATGCTTACTTCTTGATATGTCTCTGGAGGCAGGGAAAATAAAAGCGAAAGTGAACTATTGGGACCTCATCAAGATAAAAATCTTTTGCACAGCAAAGGAAATAATCAACAAAGCTAAAAGGCAACCAATGGAATGGAAGATGATATTTGCAAATGGCATACTCGATAAAGGGTTAGTATTTAAAATTTATAAAGAACTTACCAAACTCAACACCCAAAAAACAAATAACCCAGTGAAGAAACTAGCAGAAGACATGAATAGAGACTTTTCCAAAGAAAATATCCAGATGACTAACAGACACATGAAAAGATGCTCAACATCACTCATCATCAGGGAAATACAAATCAAAACCACAATGAGATACCACCTCACACATGTCAGAATGGCTAAAATGGACTATTCAGGAAACAACAAATCTTGGTGAAGATGTGGAGAAAGGGGAACCCTTTTGCACTGTTGGTGGGAATGCAAACTGGTGCAGCCACTCTGGAAAACAGTATGGAGATTCCTCAAAAGATTAAAAATAGAACTACCCTAGGATCCAGCAATTGCACTACTAGGAATTTATCTAAAGGATACAAAAATGCTGATTCGAAGGGGGCACATGCACCCCGATGTTTATAGCAGCAGTATCAACAATAGCCAAATTATGGAAAGAGCCCAAATGTCCATTGACTAATGAATGGATAAAGAAGATGTGGTATTTATATACAATAGAATACTACTCGGTGATGAAAAAGAATGAAATCTTGCCATTTGCAACAGTGTGGATGGAACTAGAGAGTATTATGCTAAGTGAAATAAGTCAGTCAGAGAAAGACAGATGTCATATGGTTTCACTCATATGTGGAATTTAAAACACACAACAGATGAACATAGGGGAAGGGAATGAAAAATATGATAAAAACAGAGAAGGAACCAAACCATAAGAGACTCTTAAATACAGAGAACAAACTGAGGGTTGCTGGAGGGGAGGTGGACAGGGGGATGGGCTAAATGCGTGATGGGCATTAAGGAGGGCAGTTGTTGGGATGAGCACTGAGTGCCACATGTAGGAGATGAATCACTGGGTTCTACTCCTGAAGCCAAGACTACATGGTATGTTAACTAGCTTGAGTTTAAATTTAAAAAATGCAGATCCTTGGATCCCAGACACTGGACTCACTGCCTCTCTGAGAGAGGGGCCAGGATATGTATTTGTACCTATGCCATAGGTGATTCTAGAATATCATATCAAATATAGTCTTGCATTTTCCAGCATAGAGCAAATCTGTACTGTATTACATCTAGAGGCCAAGTTCTTTGAAGGCAGGGTCCTAAGTCCTAACACTCTTGGTATTCACTGCTATGCCTGGCTTAGTGCTGTTGACAGACAATAAAGAGAAGTGGTCATTGATTCAGAAGTGCATACTGAAAAGATAAGTTATATTTGATGATGATACATGTTGATGGTGATGGCTAATCATGGTGAGTGCTTACCATGTGCCAGATAGTATAATTGCCTTAGATGCATCATCTAATTGGATCTCAATAACTCTAAAAGGTACTGTTATGATCTCCACTTTATGGTGAAGAAACTGAGACTCAAGATCTCATCGTTGAAAAGGAAAAGGACCCCAGTCTTGGTCTGTCTGACTTCAAAGCCTATATTCTCTTTTATTCACTAAACCATACTGGTTCTTAGATTACAAAACAATTCTACAGATAACTTATAAATCACATTCTTTGGAATTCATCTCTTCAATGTGCTTTTGCTTCAAATTTATTTGTTGCATTTTGTTAAATATATGAAGGAGAGGGGCACGAAGATGAGATAGTAGGAGCAATACTCTGACTTGCAGGAACCAAGGTGAAGGACATTGAATATAGAAAGTAAAAGGTATATATAAATATTCTTCAGTATTTAGGAGCTATTGGAAAACTTTTAGCTAAATAAAAATAAAATAAGTACTAAATGAGAAAAAAGTTGGAACATTGCAGCTGTCAGATTTTGAAGTTCTAGCTAGAAATTGAGTAATAAGGAAAGGGAATCAAGATGAGAACTCATTGTTGAGAAATAATGAGGGCAACAGCGATTTTAGAAAGGTCATCAAGGAGCTAGCTGATGCCTGGACTTGACAATGGGCAAGACAAGCAGTCTGGACATGGAGAAATTAAGGCAGCTTATAAGAGGGGGGTGGACTGAAAGTAGATATAAAGAATGAGTTTTATGCACATTTAGGTTTGTTTTGACGTATTCTGCCCGGAAGCTGGGATTAATGAGCATACGGAGTGTTATAATTTCATTCTGGTTAAAGCATCCTTATGCACTGAGCTTAGTGAAGAAGGGCTAATTAACATCTTTTGAACACAGGAGGGAAAAAAAGAGTATACATCAGAATTGTCTTTTCAAGGCAAAACAAACACAAAATCAAAATCTGGATAAATGGAATCAGAGTGCTTATTCAAACTTCAATATTTCAATCCTGGTGCTTGTCTTTAGATACAGATAACTTTCTAATCATGCTTGATTCATTCATGACATATGGAGAAGCCTAGATTTTGTTCTTACTGGGATCTGGGCAAAATCCCCACTTCTCATCTCTTTCATATCGGCTTGTTGTGGCACACCACAGTAAGTTGTCTTCCCGCCCTTCCCGGGTGCATTCATGATGCCACTGATGGTTATACTGGAAGGGAAACATGCACGGTGTTCCATGGGCATTCCCTTTGATTGTATACAAATCTAGGAGAAAGATAAAGACAAAGTCAAATAAGTATTACGTCAGTTTTATCTTTGGAAACTGTCATATGGTGAATACACTTTTTTATCGACTGAAAACTTACAATGGGTGAGGCCCTTGCTATATCACTGAGAACACTCAGGACCTGCTGTCTAGTGTATGTAAAAGTACAAGGGTTCAGAGAGCATGCTGATAAGTGGCTTGTTTACATAATTATCTACTTGTTTATTTACTGTGCTGCCCCTGCGACAGTAGCACACGTATTTGTTAATGGATGAGAAAGAAAATTAAATGGAGATTTACTTCTTAACTTAAGAAAAATGTTTATTTTGAGAGAGAGCCAGCGAGAGAGCACATGAGCTAGAGAGGGGCAGGGAGAGAATCCCAAGCAGGCTCAACACTCCGCGCAGAGCCCGACCTGGGGCTCAATCCCACAATAATGAGATCATGACCTGACCCAAAATCGATAGTCAGATGCTCAATCGACTGAGCCGCCCTGAGTTTTACTTTACAATACCTTCCACTCCCCAAATACATCAGAGATCAGCATCTGAACCTCAGGAGTTTTATAGGCATCTATTACTTTTTTTCATTCAATAGATATTTACTGAGCATTTAATGTGCCCAGCGCTGGGGATGTACTAATGAGCAAACCTGTAGATGTTCCCTTTCATATGAAGCTTCTGTTCTACTAGGGAGAGACAAAGAGAAAGCAAATACACAAGTAAACACATAATTTCAGGTAGCAGTAAGTGTCATGAAGAAAAACAAAGCACGGTAGGAAGACAGAATGACTGTGTGTGTGTTTGAAGGGTGGAGGGGCCCTATTTTGGATAGGGTTGTGAGTAAAGACCTCTCTGAGTAAGAACTGGGGGAGGTGGGGGTGCAGGTCTTTGCAGAAGAGTTGTTCTGGTGGGAGGAACAGCAGATACAAAGGGCCTGTAACGAGAACATGTGTGGGGCAAATGGAAAGAGCAAGGAGGTGCAAGAGGAAGTGCAACTGGGGAAGTACTGGAGTGTCAGCTCACAAATGGCCAGCTCTGCCACATTATGGATTTTGGCCTTTACCCTGAGGGTAGTGGGCAGTCACCAAGTGAGTTTTGAATGGGAAAATGACATGATCAGATTTCCATTTTTAAAGACTAACTCAGGGTGCAGGGTAGCAAACAGAACCTACATGGCAAGAAGGGAAAATGGGATGACTAGCTAGGAGACCTCTATCATAGTCAAGGAGAGAGGAGTGTGAAGAGGTGGCCTGTTGGCTGCCTTCTCAGAGTATTACAATAATCGGGCATCCTTGGCCTTAAGCATGACTCAGCAGGGGCTTTCAATGGTGAGGGGGATAAGGACTGCCTTCGATTAAGTTAACAGGTCCTGGAGTGGAAGGGCCAGCTGTGGAGATTCCCACTCCTTCCCCACAATTGGCAGGGGCTAGACCAAGAGCACCCCACATCATTGGCCCTAGAAGTTTGGGGTGTTGAGGAATTACAGGTGTTTCAGGACACATCCCCTTGTTTCAGTCCTCTGAATTCTGCTCAGTCTTCACTTGAGTGCATAGGAATGTGAGTATCTGCCTAAAAAATTAACACAAAGCAAAATATTAAGTTCTTCCTTAGGACTGTAGACTATTCAGAGTGCTGGCATGCAGCACTTGCTTATCGTAGTGAGTCCTGCTAATAGCCTGCTCTTGGCTCTGTCTCTCTTTATTCTTTTCTTGTAGGTACAGGAGAAAGTCCTGCTTTGGATCGTAGGAGTTCCTTGCTCTCCTTCCTAGAGTTGGGGCATCCTTGGCCTTAAGCATGACTCAACAGGATATGCTCTTGTTAAGGCATAATTCTACAGAGCACCAAGAGGTCAGGAGCCAAATCTGTCTTGTTGGCTTTTATAAATTAAATGCCCAGCCCTACACCCGAGAAACAGTCACTGCTCAATAAATATGTGATGGATGGATGAATGAATGAGGATGGATGGATGAATGAATGAATGTTCTACAGAACAGAATCTAAGAGACAGGTTTGCAGTTTCAGAATTTATGCCATTTTATGTTTTGTTTTTTTTTTTCTGCTTAACATGTCAAGTATTATAGAGCTACAGAGGATGAAAGCCCCCACTCCTGAAACCATTCTTCCCACCGCTTGACACTTGCCAATTGTTCCTGACAGTCGTGTGTGGTTTATCTTTCAATGCCTTGTACATGACCATCACATGGATGCCAGGCAGGCATGAGGAGGCATTGAGGTGCTCTGTAGACATACTCATACCTGGGGCTGAGTTTGTACAATAATAGAAACCGTGGCAGGAGAGGTTCTTCTATTCATCCTGACAAGTCTTTACTTCACAGACTTTATCTTCCACCTTTATTTTCTCTTTGTCTCCTATACTTCTGTTCTTTCGTCCCCTTTCCATTGAGTTATTTAAGTGTTTTCTCCTCTAAAACCTTTAAATTCTGAGTTTGCTTCATTAGCTGAATTTAGCAAGTTCATTCTAAGATTCCAATAATCCTTTTATGATAAGCAAGTAGCAACTAAAATGTATTTAGCAGAAGTCCCTTGAGGCGCTGGGTGCTGTCATATAATTTACAAATCTTTACTTAGGGATAATCTTTCTAAGTATGTGATTTCATAAGTAGTTTCATTTAAATTATTTTTTACCTTTGTGCAGATATTCACAAATGCTTCCACCACCTGACATGTAGGAAATCCACTTATGAAGATATTTCCATGAGGCCACAAGCACGTTGTTGTGATTCACCTGGACCGTGTACTGGAGAGGGCCGGTGATCATGTTCCTGTTACAGCGCCATCTCAAGGAAACGTGAGTGGAATCACACTCATATATGCTTAGTAGCTGCTCTGGATTCGATAAATTCAGACCCAGGCAACCACTGCCTCCTATGTTAAAAAGGCGGTGGTTTGAAACCCACTTCCACAGCATGTGCTTGTTTGCTGGTTTGCAGTTCTCCAGGGTCAGTGCAGATTTGCCTGCTTGAATGCATTTCTTGAGGCTCTCACTCTGGATAACGAATATTCCTTTATCTGAAACAACAAAATAGGAAACGTGGCATGGAACTTTCATTTATCATTAACTAGTGTCATGAGGATCCTGGTGTGCATGTCTAAGATGTTGTATGTGACAATTTACAGCCATTTTGAACAGATCTGAGGTGATGGATGGGTCCACCAGAAGGGCTTTATTTGCACAAAACAGAAGCGTTTCTTAGGAAATATAAATGGACTTGTTGGAACTAATGAGAAAGTGATCTAAGACCTCCATGGCCAGTAGCAAAGGCTGCTTATCAATCCACAGGGGAGAGGTACTATGGTGAAGGAACTCACCACAACTGGCGAGAGAGCAAGGATTGGTAATAATACTCAGGGCTAAATGGGAGGGACATTGCGTGCCCAGAGGTATGGTGATCTTTTGGTTTTCTTTAGACAAGCACCTGAATGTTAGAAACGTGGCAGCCAAATCAAGGGCCACTGAAATGAAAACTTCTACCATCAAATTCCTACAGAAAACCGAAAGGATAGAAGCAAAGTGTTGCTTTATGTCTTGATACAAGGTGTAAAGCTGGTGGGGAAGAAAAGCTTCTCCAATTTGCTCTCTGTGCTGAGTCCAGGTGGAGTAAAAAAGTGGGGACATTTGCTGTGGGGATGGCCTATTCACTAGAGAAGCCTTGTTAAGTGGTACCAGCAGCAAGTGGATGCCCAAGACCCCCGCTTGGGCCCCCCCATCATGTGTATTTTCACATGGGAGGTACTGGAGCACCATGGCAGTGGCAAAACCACACAGGCCACAGGGAGATATGGAGAGAGTAGGCTTTTGTGATGCACCTCTGAACCTCCAACGCCCTGAAGATATTTGGGTGAATTTCCTGTGGAAAAACTGGAAGGGAATGGGTATTAGCTACCTGCCTGCCATCTGACTACACCTCATCACTGGCCTGGAAGATACCGGTTATACAATTATGAACTTGTTCTCTCATAGGTTTTCTGAAGGTAGAAATCACGTCTACTTTCTTCAGTATAAGCACAGAGTGTACTGAACATGTTTTAGAGGTTGAGTAAATGCCTGACGTTGATTAGATGTGCTAGCAGCTGTACAGGTCTGCCTGTGTAGGCAGGCAGGCCTAGGCTTCCTGAGTTACCCAGCTCAGAATGTCTGGTCAGGCCCAAGAGTTCTTTTATTCTCTCTTCTTGTAGTTTACCTCCTGTCCATTCTTTAAAAACCTGAAGGGACATTAATCAATTTCCCTTTAAAATGACTGATTCAGGGCAAGCCGTGTCCTATGGCAGGGGTATAGAAGTGACAGGCAGAGGCCTTCTAGGGATTTGGAACAGCATGGAACGGGCTTCCTTGTGCATGGGGACAAGGGGAAAGTTCTTTTGTTTTTTCCTAAGTTACTTAGGCTGAGAATTGATTTACAGTAACCAAAATCACTTAAGACATTGTTAAAAAAAAGATTGTCAATGTATTAATGAAAGCTATACCTCATTTAATAATTGATAACCTTACTTATAAGCATATATTTGAGGAGTTGAATTAGTTGTCAGAAAATTGCTTTGATCATCATATATCAGAGCAAAAGAGAAGGGAGTGTGTGTTTGGGTGGGGGAAGAGAATGAATGGTTTTAGGGAGATTTCATTTAGATCAGGAAATTTGTTTTCCTAATGAAGACCATGTCTGTATGGTTATTAGTAATAGTCATTCAAGATCAAATCTGCCCCTTGCCAATGTGATGTAGACTCTGATAATTAACCTTCTCTCCCACTCTTCTTTTCACCTTTTCACGCCTGGGTAGAACGTTAACCTTAATTTCTGTTGTAATCTCCTAATTACTTTCTAGCTAGCTTGGAGTTTCATTAATTTTTTACTAAAGGAAAATCATTTTACTATAACTGTTCTGTAGTTTAGCTTCTATCTCATTTACTTGTTCAAATATATCCACCTACTTACTGGCTAGACCTCAGCTCTCTGGGCCTCAGTTTATACACCTAAGATGGGTAGACAGCCTACCTGGCGAGTGGTTGAGGGCTCTCGAATCAGGCAGATCAGTCTGGAACTTTGGGCAAGTTTTTTAATCTCAGTAAGCCTCACCTTTCCTTTTTGAACTGGGAGCATGTGTGATACTGATCTCATAGGGATGTTAAGGGCATTCCATTAAGTAACCCATGCAAAGCACATCACACACCACTTTGGCATGGAAAGACTTCAGCAAGTTGTTAGTATTATTAGTGTTACTATTATCCCTCTGGCTTCCTGATTCTTGGTCTGCAAATGCAACTGCAGATCTGGTTGAACACTGAAGAGTGCTAATATGAGCATCCCCCAAAGACTTCTATTATTAGCAGAAAAATGCATTTTACTCTAGCTTCTGTAGCACACAGTGTGTGTAGACTTTTTAGTGTTAAATGATCCTGAGATCACCTTTTATGGAGGAAAAATACTCTTCAAAATCAAGATAACAAAATATTTTTCTTGTTTGTTCAAATATACGTGCAATCATGAATTAAGAGTCTCCATCTGTTCATCTTCCAAACTAGTATCTACCTGTAAAGTCTATACTGCAGTTCTCTTATAAGAAAGAGAAAAACACATAATGTTGACAAGCAGTGTATGGATAGGCAAATGGATGGTCTTTAAGTCAACATGGACATTATATATTACTAACATTTTGGATGAATAAATATTTTTAAATGTTCAAATTATTAAGTGTTAAGAGAAAAGGAGTGGTGTAATCAGAACTTCTGTAGTTACACTAGTGATCATAAAAATACCTTCCTGAAGCAGAAGATATTAGACACACCTAAGCCCATGCTGTTCACTTTTGGAGTGTTATTATGTTTTCATGCCCAGCTGCCTTTAGAATGTAGCTTTGGAAAAGTTCCTCAGAATGTATCATAAACAAGTAGCTCTGGCTTACCAATAACAATAAATATGCCATCTCCAAAAGAATACTATGCCACACTAAGCTAAAAAATGACCCAATCCCATTGTCCCATTAAACTATAATAGAATCTGGTCCTGGCACCATTAATCTCCATAAATTCACTGAAGAGAAAACAATTGCCTTCAAATAAACTCTGAGGAGACCCAATACGGGTATCAATATTCTGATCATTATTATATGCATATATAGGCTGTCTGTAACAAACACATAATGTGAAAAAAAAGCCACCAATCCTTAGCGTCTATAGTCAGGTTTTAAAAAGTATGAGAATCAAATGTGGGAGGAATCAAGATTGATTATACATGTCAAGGACATCAGTTCTGCTTGAACACTGATTAAGTGATTAATGAAGTACTGCCAGAATTACTAAATCTCTTTGCAGTAAAATGTTATTATACTTCCCTTCATAATTATAAGTTTAAGAGGGGAAGAAGGATCGATTTACTAGAAGTAACTTACAAGCTAATATTCATTCTCTTTTATTCCATGGAATAAAATCCCTGGAAGACAGTTCTACTTTCTACTTCTGGGTTCCTCTGAGGAGATCATTTTAGACCCACCCTTTGCCCCACAGGATAACATGTACTTTTCGAAGGAATGGGAGGAGAATGCTTCCTTGATCAAGTGTGGAATTTAAGTTTAAGGCAATCCTTTTTTGACTGCATATAGAAAATTACTTCACTCCACAAGCATTCATTGGGTGCTAGCCATGTGGTAGGCACTGTGTAGGGCACTAGAGATAGAGGGAGAAATTATTTGCCTAAGTATCTGCCCCTTAAAAGTATACCTATTTTTTCTGAAATCATGAGAATACTCCTAGTTAATGAAAAGAAGGAGGTTCCATCAGTGCCAAAGAAAACATTGTAACCACATTTAAGATAGCCCTGGGGCACCTAGATGGCTCAGTCAATTGAGCATCTGACTCTTGATTTCAGTTCAGGTCATGATCCCAGGGTCGTGGGATACAGCTCTGTGTTGGGCTCCCCGCTGAGTGTGGAGCCTGCTAAAGATTCCCTCTGTCTCTCCCTCTGCCCCTCTCTCCCATTCGTGCTCTCTCTCTCTCTCAAATTAAAAAAAAAAAAAAAAAAAAAAAAATAGCCCTTTAAAGCAAGTGGTGAAAAATAAGAACAAGAAAATAGCCCAGAATTCAGAATACTTGACTGGATCCTCAACTATTGTCATGTGTAAGGTGGGCATGACTCCTCAGTGTCATCAGATCATTCGGAGTGGGGAGAGTGTGTGTGTTTGCACACACTTGCCCCTTTTCCAGGGAGCAGACTGAGAACAACACCGGAAGGAATGAGGCCTTTTGGAGGAGACTATTTTATTTTATTTTAATTTAATTTTTGAGAGAGACAGAGCATGAGTGAGGGAGGGGCAGAGAGAGACACACACACACAGAATCTGAAGCAGGCTCCAGGCTCTGAGCTGTCAACACAGAGCCCCATATGGGGCTCAAACCCACGAATGTGAGATCATGACCTGAGCTGAATTCGGATACTCAACCGACTGAGCCACTCAGCTCCCCCTGGAGGAGACTGACTTTATCCATAAACCCAGAATCATTAACTTTAAGGCTGGCTGGACTGCAAGGGTTATTTAATCAAATCATTCTTTTACATTTTTTTCCAAATGTATTTTGTCTTAGAGGTTTAATATCCATATGCAGAGTGAGGACCATATAGGTCTAGGTCTAGCTTTATTTACATACATTAATTTATAACCTATAAAGTAGAAAATAAACTGCTGCAGATTGTTGCCAAACAATTTGAGGTAGAAGACTTAAAGTTTCAAACAAACATTTTTTTCAGTCCCTAGTATGGTATGTGTTAGGAAGCCTGCAGAAAAAAGGGTATAAATGTCATAGTGTTTGCCCTCAAGGAGTTGCTGTAATCCCTGGGAGTACATCATGAAATATATGGAAAGAACTATAACAATGTCAAGATATATTTTGACATCAGAGGTATAGAGAAGCACAATGACATGGAAGCCAGAGCTAGAAGGGATAGGTTTGGCCTATCAGAGAAATCTCTTTCAATCTCTCTCTCTCTCTCTCTCTCTCTCTCTCTCTCTCCCCCCACTCC